GGGCACGGCCCTGCGCGTGAAGGGGCTGCTGGAGGCCATGGGGGTCCCCGACGGCGCCACCTTCTCCGGGGACTTCCTCACCGGCGGCCGCGGGCAGCTTTCCTGTTTCCAAGACGCGATGGAAAACTCCGCTTTCACCATCCTTCTGCTGACCAAGAACTTCCTCTGCCAGCCTTGCATGTTCCAAACAAACTCAGCTCTCATGCAGTCCATCGAGACGCCATCCAAGTACAACTCGGTCATCCCTTTTGTACCCAGGGAAAACCCCTTGGAAGACAGCGAGATTCCCTTCTTTCTGCGAGGGCTGGTGCCCCTGAACGAGAACTCGCCCATGTTCTCCACCAGGGTGAGGAACACGTTTACCCGCAGCAAGGTCAGCGAGCAGAAAGCCCTGTGGAAACAGAGGCAGCAGGTCCAGGAGCAGCAGAGGAAACTGCAGCTCTACCAGGAGCACTGGCGAATCCTGAGACGCTTATCCGAGCTCAACCTCGGCTCCCTTCCGCGGGCGCCGTGGCCGTCGGAGCCGGGAGACGCTCAGCAGGTCCTGGAGCAGCTCCAGGCTCTGTGGTCGGCCCCGCAGTGCCCGTTTCCCACCTCTGCCCAGCCGGGTCCTTCTCCTTCCCACACGTTTTTCCAGCCCCGCGGGATGCCGGCTGCGGGCAGCGGGCAGCACCTCATCATCATCCAGAACGCGAAGATGGTGCAGATCGGGGACCACAACGTGATGCGCGTGCGGACGGCCCCGCCGGCTCCCGAGGACGGCGAGGAAGACGGGGAGAAGCCTTGATCCGAGGCGCGGGGGCGGCCAGGGCCATCCCCGCGCTCCCTAAGTTAAACTACAGCAAATCTCCGGGACTGGGACTGTTCTCATTATTTCACTGTGAATAAAACAAGGTGCCCCTTTCTTGGAGCAGGGGAGAGAAAACAACCTCTTCTCTGTTGGACAAGAGAAGCTGCTGTATCCTAAGACTTTCTTTTCCTTGTGCTTATTTTCAAGTAATTGCAAAAAAATATTTTCTTGACTCGAGGACTACTTGAGGATTTTATAAAAACATTTCGATTAATTCGTCTGTTTCTCTAGTTACTTCTTGCAAAATTGGGCAAAGGGCAGAACTGGGGAGGTCACCCAGGAAGCAGCCCCGAACACGCGGATCGGCGCAGGGAGCCGCTGGGACACGGCGCATCCCGGCCCTGCTGCCGGGATCCCGGCCGGGCCGCGTCCCGGGAGCCCCGGCGGCCCCTGCCCG